TGACGTACCGGGTATAACTTGATGACGTAGAACATCTATAATGTGTAATTTGATATTGGCTTTATCCAACTCGTTGAAATGGTGTTTATTCGCTCGACAAGCCTCGAGAATTTATACACCGTTTCAACTCGTTGGATAAAGCCAATATCAAATCACACAATATAGATATCCTTTATATATCTGAAGTTAACATGCGATAAATGCCATATAAATTCAGAGTTGCGAATTGCCGCATATACTGAGTACCTCTCAGTTGTTTACATCTACCAGTTATACTCAGTGACGTATTAAAAATGCCAATAAATATGCCGCGTTTGCATTATTTTTTTAATAAAGAGGCAGAATGAGAAGAATGTAAATTGACTTCATTAAGGTATGTTTTCTTCTACTAATCTTGCAAAATTTAAGTTAGAATCTTGTAACATCCTCAATGGTACTCCATTTTTCCGTGCAGCGGAAATGAAAAAGATTTAAGTAGGGGCATTTGGGGTAAGTGGACACATTAAGGGTTTAATTGGAGTCTGAAAACTTCTAACCTAAACCAATCTTTCTTGTAGTATATTACACTCATTGTTCAAAAATCTCTTAGTAATGTATCTTTTTTTTCAATTTAATGCAAATGGATTGAAGAATATGGGCATCGAAGATTAATTCTAAAAAGTGTTCACTTACCCCATATATTTCTGGGTAAATGGTAAGTTATGAAAAATGTGAAATTACAGGACACATGATCTTTAACTATACAGTAACATTTTTTGTATTTAATCATGTGCAAAAAAGTTAAAATTAGTTAATTTATTTTCAATTTTCTTTCTTCATAATTGAAATTATTTAATTCTTTGATATCTGACAATGTTTGTTATATTTACTCTTTTTCTTTTCTGAAAAATATTGATATGCATATTTTTTTCTAAATCTAATGGTATTAAATTATTGATATATATATATTTCAAAGGCTCAAAACATTCAATTTGTTAAAGTATTTCACACAAAACATTTTGCAATACATAAGAAAGTGGTACACCAAAATAAAGAACAAAAATTAGCAGTGCTTGTCACATACAAAATATTCTAGCTGACGACCATACAAGGCATGATTCGATGTACCAGCCATCACATCTTGTACACTTAATCCAGTCCTCGTCATCAGAATCATCGTCGTAAGTATTCCCCGCATTAGGAGCAGCAGTTATCACCATCCTGTACTTCACTGGTGACAGTATGAGAAGAGATATTTTCCCTTAGAGTGGCTTTTAACTTTGATTTAGTCTTCTCTGACTTGTAGGGTCAAGCTGTTCCTTCAATTTTTCCATATCTTTGTTTTTTGTTTCTTTTCTTCACGTTCTTTTTTTCTGATTTCTTTTTCCTTCTAATCCTACTTTGTTTTAGCTCACCTGAGCCGAAGGCTCAAGTGAGCTTTGCTGATCACATTTTGTCCGTCTGTCTGTCTGTAAACTTTTCACATTTTCGACTTCTTCTCAAGAACCACTGGGCCAAACTAACCAAACTTGCCACAAAGCATCCTTGGGTGAAGCAGATTTTAGGTTTGTTCAAATGAAGGGCCACGCCCTCATTCAAGGGAAGATAATTGGGAATCAATGAAAATTTGGTGGCATGTTTTAAAAATCTTCTCCTCAAGAACCACTGTGCCAGGAAAGATGAAACTTATGGGAAACATCCTCAGGTAGTGAAGATTCAATTTTGTTCAAATCATGACCCCCGGGGCTAGGGTGGGGCCAAAATGGCCGACCCAAGTTTTACATAGAAATAAATATGAAAATTCTTTAAAAGTCTTCTTCTCAATAATTTCAAAGCCATAATTGATCATATTTATATGGAAGCATCCTCAGGTAGGGCAGATTCAAATTGGTACAAATCATGACCCCGGAGGGGTAGGGCGGGGCCGAAATTGCCGATCAAAGTTTTACATAGAAATGTATATGAAAATTCTTTAAAAATCTTCTTCTCAAGAACAGCAAAGTCATTATTGGTCATATTTATATGAAAGCATTCTCAGGTAGTGTAGATTCAAGAGTTCAAATCATGACCCCCGGGGGTAGGGCGGGGCCACAATGGCCGATCAAAGTTTTACATAGACATATATAGAAAAATTCTTTAAAAATCATCTTCTCAAGAATAGCAAAGCCATGATTGGTCATGGGACTACTTTTGGATTTAAAGTTTTCAATAATAAATAAATTTCTACTTTTTCTTAGCCAGTGCTCAGGTGAGCGATGTGGCCAATGGGCCTCTTGTTTCCTCCTTGTGTCTGGTTCCATTGATGAATTCATTCTCTATTATACATCTTGCACCAAGCACTTCTTTAGTTTTTTTTCAACAGGTTCTTTAACAACTGTGGGAAGTAGAAGTGATTTTTTAATTTCTTCTGAGACTGACGAGGAGCTCTGTTGAACCTGGGTTGGCTGACCAGTAGATAGTGTCATGTTTTCAGCTGATGCAATCCCTTTCTTTGTGCAACATTTTTTATCTCTTGACATTGATCTTGAGTTTGACTTGTATTTGCAAAACTCTTGTGACTGAAGCTAAAAACAGAAGTTTTTGGTGGCCCAAATGCTTCTGCAGGAAAAGCCAGGGAGTTGAAACGGAAACTACCTGTGGCTCTAAAACCTCGAAAGATATTTACCTTGTTCATTTTTACATGATATGCATGTGACAAAAATCAGTAGAAGTCATAACTGGAAGTTTGATTGCCGGGATTTCAAAAATGATTCGCAATGATTGTAGTGTGCCCAAAACACTACACATAAACATGAAGTGTAAAATGAGAGGCATTATCATCCACTATCAGTGTACGAAACTCTTGAAAAATCGGGTGGACAAGCAGGGCTGATTACTCAAAAATTTTGTCAGCCCTGATGAAAACCAGCAAGCCCGCAGTTAAATGTAATAAATATTATGAGTACTGAGTTCAGACTAAGTGCTCTTTATTGCTTAAAGAGGTTTGGGGTCAAAAAATTAACCATCAGATATAACTTAATATTTTAGATATGATATCCTATCATTTGGAAAAGAAAAAATTCAGATATTTTAGCTTTAAAATTTGAGCATTTTTCTTTATCTTTATATGGAACTCTTCTTCTAAAGGAGATCAAAATAGTATGGGCACAACCACCCAGTCCCTTTCAATGATTAATCTGAAATTAAAACATACAATAGAAGTTAAGCTGAGTTTCTGATTTTATTCACAATTGCTTGCATATTTGAATTTGAATCGTTCAACATATTCACTTTCTACATCAGAATCTTCGTTCAAATCGGAGAAATCAGAGTCGTCTATTTCAATTTCAGGATTGCCTTTTGGCTGATCTTAAAACATCACCTTCACAGATACATGATGCCTCAAAAATCTCAGACACAACAGCACTACTGGTAACTGAAATTCTCTTTTTCTTTCTTTGCAAAAACTCTGGTCTCCTGGATCCGTTTTTATTCCAGAAATCAACTGTAATGGATGGGTCAAAATCACAAATTTCCGAAGAATGTAGATTTTTTGGTCATGAGCATAGTCATTGTTATACTCTTCAGCTTGTTTCTGTACTTGGTTTTCATTGTTGTCATTTTTGAGAAATTCTGATGTCCCTGCTGGTATTGAGAGAATCAGGTGGAAGAGGTCCAATATATTTGGACATTTCTCATAGAAAAGTTGATTTCCTGGCATGTCAGGGTGGATACTGTATGGCTAAAGTAATTTTAAAAAAAAACTTTCAATTGTTTATTGCATATATCATTGGATACATCATGGGCAAATTTCATGAGAACTCCATAAATTACAATTTTTTCTTTTTTTTTTAATTATTAAAGGTGGCCGATGACTTACTTTTCATACAACAGCTCATTAAGGTTTGTCCATTCTAACTCAATGTGTGATGTTTCTACTCCAGCAGCTTTCAACATTTCTTCATAATGATCAGCAAATTGTGATAAAGACTCATCTCCAAAGTCTGATATAGATTTATTTTTTTTATATACAAGTGTTATACAGTATATACATTAATTAGTGAAGTGGAAATAATGTGCCAGCTGTTAAAAAGGTCAATAAGTGAACAGTCGACCGAGCTGAGAAAATCTCACTAAGTATAAAACAAATTATAAATAGGAAGCTATTTCCTAGTAAAAAGTTCACTAAGAAACCTGCATTATTGATTAATGATTAGCATGGTTAAAAAAATTATATGTTAATATTATTTAATTAACACACACGAACAGCATCTTCAAATGTTTTGAGGCCAATTGCCAAAATCAGCAATTCGTGTACATTTCAAAATTCTCTCATCCACATCACTAAATCTTTTTTCAGACAATCTGTCAAAGCACAGATAACTCTGAGCATTTAGGAACTATGTTGTGCTGTATCCTATTGTAAAAGTAACCCCTGGAATCCATTGTCACTGTCTAATATTGACAGTCTGATGCTAGACGAAAGAGTCGAGTGGTCACCCACAAAAAGTTGTTGCCTTATCGAGGTGATGATCCACCCAAATTGATCAGGAAAGTTGCTATGGAAAGGAGAAAAAAAGGAAAATTAGACTGATCATTTTTTATTCTCTGTCATGCTGTTTATAATGTTTATATTTACATGATGCAATGTTTATATTTACATGATGCAAGTCTAAATATTGGTTCAAATAAATGGGGTATTCTTCTGATTAGAATTTACATATGAGTATATTTTTGTATATAATAATGTTATATTATTGTTAATAAAAATCACATGGTTATTTCCATGTTTCTATTTCAGAGTATTACTCTTTATCAACTTGCAGTATGTCGTTGATGACCACAGCCGGCAGAAGAGGCAGAGTGTCGAGTTGTCGAGTTGTGTTGTTTGCCCGTATCGAGGAGAGAGACACACGATCATGAAACATGTTTATTCCAAACACCTGATCATAGACGAGTAGCCCTATCGGTGTATCTTATGCCAATTTAGTCACTAAAACTATACCAACTTCATTAGTCATATAAAGTGGTCAAGATTCACCTTTCCAAGGCTTCTTCAGTAGCTATGTACTTGCTTCAGGGTCTAGAGGAAATACGGCCAAAGAGCAAGGTTGTTTTTTCAATGATTCAACAGTGGTTCATCGAGGAGTCCAGGAGATACTGAGAGAGTAAGAGAAGGCCTATGGTTCTTCCACTTCCCCAGTTTCCCTGATCATCTGTCCAGTGCCACCCTACGGTAGTACCACGTGCATCTCTGCCATTACCATCTGTGTCATCAGTTCCTGTTATTTGGTGGCTTCATCTACAGCTCCTGCTTTTGTTGTGTCTGTCTCACCTTCTGCTGTGCCTGTCTCACCTTCTGCTACATGTATACCCGCTCCATCCAAGATCACATTACCATCACTCAACTCAGAAGAAGCATCCACAAGAGACATTCTTGCTTATCATAACTATTTACTTGGTTAGTTTATTCAATACTCAGGAGCAGAGAAGAAGCTTTTCAAAGACCATTTTCAAAGACTGGAACAGAAATCCTTACCCAGTGACCATAATATTAACAATTTGTAAAGATGCAATTTTGCCCATCATAACTGTGTACTTAGTTTATATAATTCCTAGAAGTAGAGAAGAAGATTTCCAAAGAAATAATGTACTTTCACTATATGACATATAGTGACCCACCCTAGCACCAGAACACCTGACCCTTGGGCCATGCATTTCACAATTTTGCTAGAGGGTTCAATGCTTATTACAATTATGCCAACAGTTCGACTGATTGATGACCAGGAGTTAAGAAGATTTGTAATGATTGCATCAATTTTGGTGGTATTAGCCCCTCCCCTCACGTCCCAGGGGGGCAGTTACCATAAAATTTGTAATTAGTTGTGTTCCTCTTTCCCATAGGTGCTCTATGCTAAAATTGGTTGAAATTGGTTGAGTGGGTTTAAGGAAGAAGCTGAAAATGTTAACACACGACAAAGACGACAGACGAAAACGGATAGCAATAGGTCACCTGAGTGAATCAGATGACCTAAAACTGTATAATTAACAAACTAGTCGAGGAAAAACTACTGTCCGAAAAATAAAAATATCTTTGTTCCTCTTGTGCAAACAATGGCTATAAAAATCTAATAGACATCAGTTTTTATTTAAGTATCGAATATATATTTCTTTCGGTAGTAAGTGCTGAAAACTGGTTAAAAGATAGAAAAAGTTTTCTTCTTTTACTTTTCTTTGCAGTCATTGGTATAAATATTAATGTACTCTCAAAGAAAGAGATATCTAACTTGATTTTTAGTGTGGAACATATGTTTTCCTTATTTAGCAAAAACCTATTATCGTACTTCTTTTCTGGTAGTCGAAGTGCAGTGTGAATTCAATAGCTGTGCCTGCTGCTAACTACCGCACCCTTTTATTTTGGTTTGGAGACCAAGCATTTGATACAGTAGCAGTAGATGATGCAGCAGATTGATACAGTTACGTATTTTGACAAGAACCAGACACTTGCTAGAAGCTGCCGTGTTCATAACGAAAATAAAGCAATTCTTTCTGCAATTACCACTTTTGTTCATTTCTTGCAAAAT